ATGCATTTCTAATGTCTCTATACTTATCACTTAGTGAATTTAACAATGCCACAGCTTGTTGATCATCAGAGATTTCTTCATCACAGTTAGTCAAGTCCTGAATCAGTTTTGTGAATCTGTCAAGGTTATCTTCCAGATTTGAGGTAGGATCAAATCTGAAATTATAGAATTGCCTTAGAAGGTAGCATTTATTAGGCATAGTTCTAGTTAGATATAATGTTCCTAACTTAGTCCAAAGAGCCTGAGCAGAAGTAGTTTCTCCAACTTTCCTAATTACACTATCAGATAAGAGCAAGAAAATTGTGCTTCATGCAATATCATCTAACTCCTGTCTCCTATAGGCACTAGTTTCTGTAGGCCAGTTACCATCAATGGCTGCAGCATATCTCTGCTGCAGCAATAATGCCCTCAGTTTTTGGCACTAGAGACTGAAGTCTCCAGTACTGTTCCATCTCTCAACTTCAAATTTTTGAGACGTGGACATGATGACAGATATGTACACACAAAATTTATACAGCACACGGTGTATATTAATTCAGGTATTTTATTTGAATTGATAGAAAATGTGACAGAATGAATAAGGCAGAAAATATAATTGTATCTTCCTATCATGCAATATACAATTCAATTCAAAAGAACAGGAACTGAAAGTCAATCTAAGAGTGGTCTAAGGAGTGATAATCCTTGCAACCCACTACTTCCTCAGATTCCCAGATCCTCGCAGGAGATCTTGGACAAAGGTAACCAGTGGAAGATTACTTACCTTAATGACCAAAAAACTCTAAACATATTACAATTTCAGTTTAATAAAGGGAGTTCTAGAAAATACTAGAGTCTAAAACTTAATATTTTAGAATATAGGAAACAGTAAGGAAGTGTCAGAACCGGAATAAGAGGAGCAATGCAAGTTCAAGAAGCCAACGAGTCACCAGAACTCAGTGTGAACTCAGTAGTGAGTTAAGAACTCACCACAAACCGGACCGAGTCAACTAAACTCGCACAACCCAGTACAAAAACAACAGATCAAACAGAGTTAGAATCGAGTTAGAACGAGTTAAAACGAGTCATAAAGAAAATTAAAATTTCAGCTTTCAAGAACCAAAAAAGACGATTTTCAGAAAAAACCAGATCTAAGATCCCCAAGAATCCTTTTGTAAATATTGTTCGAAAATTTCTTTTCAGAAAATAGTGGCTTTGATACCACTTGTTAAGTCGAAGGATCGTTAAGTCTCAAAAATGGATCGCTTTGCAGTAAAAAATAGATTTGCAGAAAATTAAAAAATCGAACGCGAAGATATGTTTCGTCCTAAAAAGGGCCCGGATGTTCGATCTTGCGACCTAATCATCCGTTAAGCATCACCAAAAGGTAATAAAGCTCAAGATCCACTAAGTATCAACCAAGAACAGTACACCATGTACGAAGAAACCAAAGGTTTCTTCGAATATTCTTTCGCATCTATTCAAAACTATAATCCAACTCACTCTCAATCGCTAACAGACTGTACAACACAATCAGAAACCATCACTAAGATTACAGATTGATAAATCACCAAGAACATATCGAATTTCAGTAACCCAAGAACCCTAATCTATCACTCAGAGAAAAGGAGAGAGAGAGAGAGACGAAAGGTTGAAAAGACTTCGAATCATCTAGAATCGGGGCCAAAACCAAGTAAGTATCTGATCAGTCAACCATCAAAGGGTGAGAATGAAGCCACGTGTACGGCTGAACCTCAACCATTTAAGAGGCAAAGGCGTGTTTATTTAAAACACGATTTACAACCCAAACTTAATTCCAAACAGACCAAACCCACAAGTCTCAATTTGGGCCAGCAAGAAATGGTGAGGCAACCTAACTAATATAACACTGATAAACAAGGATAAATTTAACTTATTTTTGTTTCTAAACAAGGTGAGTTGCTACAAAATTCACCTTAGCAAATGAACTAACTAACATGTTTCTGTCCAATCTAAACTCATATTTAAGGGTGGACAAAATGTCCAAACCAGACCAAATCAAACTAGAACCAAACCAAGCGGTTTGGTTCGGTTCTATCCAAAAAATTGATGATTTTGGTTCTGTGAATCGAGAACCATTTGGTTTTGGTTCTGGTTCAGTTCTAGTTCAAAAATCAGAACCAGAACCAGAACCAAACTTAATATTTAATTTTATATATAATAATTAGTGGAGACCCTAATTTTTTATTCATTGAAGATAGCCTATTAATTGAATACAGTTTATTAATCAATTTTGGGTTATTAGAGATAAACAACTCATTAGTTGTCTACACTCTAATTTTGTATTCAGTTGAATTATTTCTCTTCACTCATTTTCAAATTACATAACGTCGCAGCATACTGATACCGCATTTTATCAAATCAGTGGAGTGTCATTTAAGATCGAAAAATGAAAATGATCAATTACTTAAAAAGTTTCTAAACTCTTTTTTTACCTTGATTGTTTGATGAGTTATTTGTATTCTTCACAAATAGAGGAAAACCACATTCATGAAATATTAAACGGTTAATGTTACCTGTAGAAGTGGACTGTAAAAATTTTGATAATTCATTCTTTATTGTAGGGGTGTGCCTTCAAAACTACTGCAATTAATTTAGTGAATATTTGCTATTACTTATTAAACAAATTTTTGTATGAAAACGAAAACTGATTTGTGTATTCAAATTATGAATATATTTTATTTTTTAGTTATGACTTTTTTTTTATCTCGATGATTGAAATTTGAACTTCCTAAATGTTATTTTCTTATTTAGGTATACATTACTAATTTATATGAAGTAAGAACTGAAATTAGAACCAAACCAAACCAGAACCGAACGGTTCGGTTTAGTTTGGTTTCATATCTTTAAAAAAATCATTTGGTTCCATTATAAAAAAAAAATCATTGGTTCATGGTTCGGTTCGATTCTCTTGAAACCAGAACAATATGGAAACACGTCCACCCCTACTCATATTCGTTCACTGTGAACTCAAGAATGCATTGGATAAAACATGCTACAAAATCAACCTTGAACGTGGTGTAGCCATTGTAGGGATTGAACAAATACGATATTAAATGGTCCCAACTCTGACTAAGAACACTGAATGTCAAAAGTATCAAATTCACTGAATAGATCGAAACTATCACATTAAGAAAATTGACAATTAAACATGTTGCATTCAAGTGAAGAAGAATTGTAGTCATGTTTTTGATATGTGGAGTGGTAATGAGGGGAGAAAAACCACAGAATGGGGTTAACAGAGAGAGAGATGTGACCAGCTTTGTGTGGAAAGGTTATCCAGTTGCCACCAGTGCCATAGTTTTGAATGTAATTCTTGAGGATTGCATCTTCTTCTTGAGACCAAAGCCCAGTAATTTTCGTTTGTAGACTTTTAGTCCCTTTAGCTTCTTGACTTTGCAAGACCTTTAGATTTACAGTTATATTTTTGCCTTAAGAGTCTGTTTGGGAGTGATTTTGAGAATTGATTTTTTGACCGTTAGAAAAAAAAAAAAAAAAAAGTGGGGTCCACCTGTGAGAGAAGAAGTCAAATATGACAGTTGGAATAGTGAAATAACGGTCAAAAAATCAATTTTTTGGAGGAAAAATCGCTCCCAAACAGGCCTTAAATCTTCTAGGTTAAGATTGGTGAAATGGTCAATATGTAGTAATTGATCATTTCAATAGGATATATATATATATATATATAGACACACGCGCGTCATGTGTGCATGTGATATGTTTGATGGATTTTTAGTTGGCACAATTTCATTGGATATTGAAAAAAAAAAACAACTTCAAATCAATCAACACAGTGTTGTCACCTTGTCATCTGTAAAAATCCGTATAAATACAATTGTACAAGGAGCTTAATTCTAATTTTTTCTTGTTTGATAGCTATGTTCTTCGCAACCGACTCAAAGTCATATAACGATAGTTAAGTTCGGCAGAATTATGTCACTTGTTCTTTTTAAGCATATGAATTAATGAACATTGCCAAACATGGCTTCAAGCCATGCAGAAGACCAACTTCTTTTTGCCCTTTTCAATTACAAAAAAGGGGAGGCTGCGAATTTTTACAAAGCAGAAGACAGTGAAACATCGTCGATACTACAACTCTTTGGATAAGCTGATTAAAAAATTTACTTGTATATAAAATAAGTAAAAAGTAAATAATATTTTCTTTGGAAAAAGAAGAGAAATATTCGGAAATAAATCTTATCTTGCTATTAGAATAAATAAGTCTCTCAAATAAGAAAAAAAAATGTAATTGAGAATGCTTATAAACAAAATATCAACTAACTTTTAGCTTAGCCAAAATATTCTGTAGAGAACAAGAAGAAAATAAATTGAGAGAATCCTTTGTGATAATTTCTGAGAGAGACATTATATTCGGTTGTGAATTGGCCATTGACTAGAAAGTATGAAACAAGAAATGGTGATCACACCCTCACTTTCTTGTCCATCTTAAAATGAAAACAAAAACCAATAGTTATAACAATGTGGGTTGTATAAAAATTCATTATTTAGCCTCGTCAATTTCTTCTTTTTTGTCGTTCGTTTGGATACTACGTTTTTAGGGACCCAAAATATTGAAGTCATCGAATAAATAGATCAGAAGTAAATGAAACTATCACTCCACAAGTATCTACTGTTTCAAAGTTCCATGTAAATATTGATTATAATGTGTTCTAATTTCTTACGTGCCGTGCCACATTGAGTATATTGGAAAACATGTATAAAGGCCATAAGCAACAAGTATTTTTTGGTGGGACCGACTAGCCCCATCCAGGCATCGGACTTGTCGTGACTCGAGTAGCCCCGACTCAATTTGACACCACTATTAATTTTCATCTTAAATATTCATGCACATTGTACACAAAGGCTAAAATAAATAATGTGAAAGTTCAATTCATTTGTATCAAATGTTTACATATATATGTTGTATCAATAAACAATCCCTTATCATATCAACTAACATATATATATAAAGACATCTCCTGATGATTTCAATATAAATTAGGAACCCCTTCATTGGCTGCCTCTTGGGACCAAATTTCATCCAGAATTTCATAAGAACGTCGATAGCCGATATTATCCATTGGAATCCCGTTGCTGCAACTGCCATTGCCAAAGATGAAATCATTTCCAAGCTGTGAAAATGTTTCAGAAATGGTTGAATCTTGTTGGGAAGATGAAGAAAAGCTCGGGTTTTTAGTACTCTCAGTTAAACAAGGACTTATAGGAGATGTCTCTTGACCTGAAAATGTGGGAACCAAAGTGTTAGTGGTTGAAGATGAGAGGTCGGTTTTCGCTTTCGCAGCGGTGGTGTCGATACTATTTGTGGGGTTATAACCATAATTTGCTGCTATTGGCTTCTTCTTTAACTTGCTGTTCCAGTAGTTTTTCACATCGTTGTCTGTTCTTCCGGGTAGATGAGATGCTATGACAGACCATCTATGAATTAAACATAAAAATGTTAATAAATAAAAAATTAAGAGGAAAAAAATCATAATTAACATTGAACTTGCTTGCTTCCCAAGACACCATAGAGAGTGTATATGATATTGTCTTCCTCCGGTGTAAAAGCTTCATGTGTGATATCCGGTCGAAGGTAATTAAGCCACCGGAGACGACAGCTCTTGCCACAACGGTTAAGACCTGATAAACAAGGATAAATTTAACTTATTTTTGTTTCTAAACAAGGTGAGTTGCTACAAAATTCACCTTAGCAAATGAACTAACTAACATGTTTCTGTCCAATCTAAACTCATATTCGTTTACTGTGTAATCAAGCATGCATTGGATAAAACATGCTACAAAATCAACCTTGAACGTGGTGTAGCCATTGTTGGGATTGAACAAATACCATATTAAATGGTCCCAACTCTGACTATGAACACTGAATGTCAAAAGTGTCAAATTTACTGAATAGATTGAAAATATCACATTAGAAAATTTGACATTTAAACATGTTGCATTCAAGTGAAGAAGAATCGTAGTCATGTTTTTTATAGGTGGAGTGCTAATGAGGGGGAAAAAACCCCACAGAATGGGGTTAACAGAGAGAGAGAGAGAGATGTGACCAGCTTTGTGTGGAAAGGTTATCCAGTTGCCACCAGTGCCATAGTTTTGAATGTAATTCTTGAGGATTGCATCTTCTTCTGGAGACCAAAGCCCCTTTCTCACTTTAGTCTTATCACAGCAAGGAGTTTTTACCATGGTTGGCCTATCTTCCTACAATAGAGAGAGAAACAGAGTGTGTGCGTTTGTGTGAGGGAAGAAGATTAATAGACGTGCAAGTACCAAGTAATTTTCCTTTGTAGACTTTTAGTCCCTTTAGCTTGCTTGACTTTACAAGACCTTTCGATTTACAGTTCTATTTTTGCCTTAAATCTTCTAGGTTAAGATTCGTGAAATGGTCAATATGTAGTAATTGATCATTTCAACAGCACTTGTGGAAAATAATTGGTGTGTATATATAGACACATGCGTATCATGTGTGCATGTGATATGTCACCCAAATTTTATTCGTATTTTACATATTATAACATTAATTAATTTTTTCAATCATACAATATGTATAGGAATTTTTGCCCGACAGTTTGATGGATTTCCAGTTGGCACAATTTCATTGGATGTTGAACAAAAAGCAACTTCAAATCAAACTATCCAGTGTTGTCACCTCGTCATCTGTAAAAATTCGTATAAATGCAATTGTGCGAGGAGCTTAATTCTAATTTTTCTTGTTTGATAGCTATGTTCTTCGCACCCGACTCAAAGTCATATAATGATAGTTAAGTTCGGCAGAATTATGTCCCTTGTTCTTTTTAAGCATATGAGTTAATGAAGGATAACAAAACGTTTCTACCTTTCAAGTTTATTGTGGAAAAAGTCCCTACCTTTTATTTTTTTGCATTTTCGTTCTTACCTTCTACATTTTTTTGTGCTGAACGTTCTTTTCACTTATTTTTAATGTAAAATGACCAAAATACACTCTCATTTAAATAAGACCAAAAATAAATAAATAAAAATTACAATCTTACTCCTAAATATTTTAAAAAGTGCAAGTGAGTCAAAATAATTATTAAAAAGCATATTAGCACAAAAAGTCCCTACGTTTGGCCTATAGTGTACAAAACATCCATATGTTTCAAATTGGTGAAAAGAAGTTTTTCGCAATGAAACGTGCAAATAGGGATGAAAACGCAAAAAAATTGAAATGTATGGACGTTTTCTGCAGGAAGTGTCAAACGTAAAGATTTTTTTGATTATTAGGCCTTATTAAAATATTAAAAATAACAAATAAAACTCACTCTCTTTTCTTCTTCTCCAAATGGGACTGCCACATTAGAAGTGAAAAAACTTCAACCAACCATCGCTTAAACTGTCGAACCTCCATACCATTGAACCATCTAGTGATATTTTAAGATCATGAAAAGAGGCGCCCTAGTGAGTATAATCGATTGGTGTGTTGAAAATGGTATGGGTCTCTTCGGAATAGGCGATGTCGCTAGTATTTGCATTCGCGAGTTAGGTATTTTGGCTTGCAATTCCGAACAAATCTATTGACTTGAAGGTTTCAAGGTTAGATGTTGAGTGGTATGTGTAGAGATAAGAGAGGGTTTTTCGGTGATATGGTGGTCCAGCAATTTGCGTGGTGGTTTGCTGGAATTTTTTGGCTTCTAAGGTGACTAACCCATTTGGAGAAGAGGAGAAAGAGAGTTTTTTTTTTAAATATTTTAATAAGGCCTAATATCAAAAAATTCCCTACGCTTGACACTTCTTGCAGAAAACATCCCTACATTTCAATTTTTTTGCGTCTTCATCCCTATTTTTACCTTTCATTGTGAAAAACGTCATTTTCACCAATTTGAAACGTATGGACATTTTGCACATTATAGGCCAAATTTAGGGACGTTTTGTGCTATTAGACCTTTTAATAATTATTTGGACTCACTTGCACTTTTTAAAATATTTAGGAGTAAGATTTATAATTTGTTTTTTATTTTCCTTTTCTTTTTTTATTTAAATAGGAGTGTATTTTGGTCATTTTACGTTAAAAATTGGTGAAAATGACATTCAACGAACAAAAAATTGGAAGGTGAGGGCAAAAATGTCAAAAATGAAATGTAGGGACTTTTTCACAATAAACTTGGAAAGTAGGGATGTTTCGTGCCAATTACCCATTACAGAAAATACTTTTTAACATTTTTTTCCTTGTTGCAACACTATCATATATTATTCAATTTAGCTTGCCAATCATGTCCTATATTTTTTATTATTTATTTATTTATTTATTTTATGACAGTGGGTATTCGGGCCAGTTTACGCGTATCTCAACTAATCCCACGACGTCCTGAAATTTACAATCGGGTACTTACCTCAATGGCGGATTTTATTCCACGTATTTTAAATATGTTTTAATAAATATTTCAAGGAAAATATTTAAGCTCCTAGTTAGTGGGTAAAATTAGATTTTTAGTTAATTTTAATAAAAATTGATGAAATGTGGGGCTGAAAAGTTATAGATCCTATGAAATAGTGGTTAAAATTAATTGTTGATTTTGATTTAAATTAAAATCTAAATTTTAATTCCTACCAAGCAAAGACTTAATATTTTTTCAGCAATAGAGTTTGCAACTAACAACGTCTCTATGTTTTTTAGAATAAAATTTTAGCATAATTAAATACAAAATATATAATATTAACAGGGCGAGAACTCACTCAGAGATATTTTAAGATTTGCAAATTACAATGGGATTTTGTTGAGGGAGATTTTCCCTTGCAAATTATTTCAATGATGTCTTGGAGAAAAGCTTAGAAACGAAATCTGTAACAAATTTTTGAACAGAATTGTAATAATTTTCTATTATTTATTAAGATCAACTTTAATTCTTTTCCTATTTCGTTGCAAATTGGCTACACAGTTTAGCAGCTCAATAGAGAAAACTAAATTCTAATGACTCAATTGAACTTTCATTAGAAGTTCACTGACCACAGAAGAAATTAATCGTAAACATTTTCATCTGGAAAAATAATAATAATTAATAATAATAATAATCATGATATTAATAATCTATATCTTATTGTTTGAGACCATTCATGGTAAATAGGGTACGTAGTGAAAAATGATCTTACAAAGTGATTGTTACTTTAAAGGTCTAATGTTGTATAATGTTTTTTTTAAGTAAATTTACAGTAAATGATGTTTTTATTTTTACCTTCATAGTCGTAAAAGGTTGGATTATGAAATTGCGAAACATAATTTTTTGAATTGGATCAAGACTTCCAATTAAATAAGTATGAGTAAAGGATCAACACTGAATTGAATAAAAATTAACTATTCGAGTCAGGTCAAATTGATCCTCAACACAAAAAGAAGAAGAAAAAAATTATGCAAAAATGTAGATAAAAATATTGAAGAATGGCATTCTTATTTATATTTAGCCTGAGTGGTGAAAATTAAAATTAATATTGTAATCTAAGTCAAATTTAATAATTAATTTTAATTACATACTTCATAGTATCCACAACTTTTCAACCACAAATTTTATTAATTTTTATCAAAATATATTAAAAGTTTAATTTTAATCATAGTCAAGTAGGAGGAGTATAAACTCAACCAAATGAATTGATGGCTTTTATTGGTTTAGAATAAAAAAATTGCCAAACAAGTCCCAAGAATTCTCCCATTACACTTGTCGTGGTAAAAAATTGACAAACAAGAAAAGAAAATTTACACAAATTGCAAGAAAAATTCTTTTGTTTTGTTTTTGTTTTTGTTTTTGTTTTTTTTTTTTTTTTGGTTTTTGTAAGAATTGCATTGCCAACATGTTGCATTGATAATCGTTTTTTTTTTAATTTATGGAAACATATTGCGTAAATCTAAAATAGAAAAAAAAAAAAAAGAATTGTTGAAGTTTAATCTTTCGCTCCAATAACGGGCTGGTTTTAAATTTTTAAATCTTTTAACAATGAGCAATTTGATTTCAGAATTTTAAAAACTGAGTAAATCAAAATCTTGATAATAAAATTCATTCAATATTTATTAGATTGACATGTTGTTTTTATTGAAACACGTAGCGTTTTAAATTTTTAAGAATCGACTCAACTTCAAAATCATAATCTAACTTTGACCATGTGTTGACCTCCATGTTCGAAAATTCATTTTCATTCAAACATTATATTTATTTTTCACTTTTTATTCTTTTTGTAATTTAATTATCCATGCAAGATTTCGGAATTCCTCTCTCACTTGGTATTTATTCCTATAGTTCGTCCCACATCTGCAAACGGCGCCAATGTTCGAATATTTTCTTGTCATTTCCCTTCCTCTCTCATTTTCTTAAAAAATAAAAATAAAAAATAATGAAAAGAATTGATGAACACTAAGTCGAAATAAATAATTGATCCGATGGAACATTTTCTTCTACCATAAATTGGAACTCACAACCTTTATCAATTATACGTTTCATCAAATTTTATCAAAATTTACTAAAAAATAGATTTTTAGCTAAACCAAATAGGTGCAAACTTTACATTGGATATTCGTGGATTATTTGATAGATTAACGAAAATTGATTCTTTAAATACAATGAAAGATTAAGAACTAAGTTAATCGTTTTTTTATAAGTTGGAAAACAATTTGTT